TGTTTGGGCTTGATCCAGTTATATCAAATTATATATATATGTTTGGACTGTACTTGCCTTTGCACAAGGGTTGCTGCAACTACATTATGTTTTCTCGGGCCATGTACACCGCTTTCACTCGCCAGTATTGAACTGATTCCATCACTTTGCATTCTACCGCTCGCCAAAAGACTTCATTCTTCAGCGCTGGCAGGTTCTGGCCGAGCCAGAGACTAAGGACAAGAGCATGAATCGAAAGTCCTTATTATGACTGTACAAGAAACGGGAGACATGAAAAGTGTGAGCGAACTAGCGTAGCATGTAAGAGTTCATCATTACCAGACCACGCTGTTCCCGGACCAAGGAAAATCAACGGAGTCCAGGCCCAGGCTGGGCCTCCTTGTGTTCCACTGTTGCGGATTTCTTGAAGTTTCTTGCTTGCCAAGGTGAACATGGTGAACACATTGTTATTTGCATAGTCGTGCTTTTTCTTTTGGGGTTGTGACTCCTGACTTGGGAGGTGTCCAATCTCAGGTTGATTGTTGCAGGGTTGGTGAGTTGGTGTTTTTTTTTTTGATCTTTTTTGTGACGCAGTTTCCTACAGGAGCCTGTTAGCCACAGAGTTCCTAGCCCGAAGGGCTGGGATGCTGCTGAGCTCCGCAGTGCACATAGCTTCACAATTCAATGCTGATGCTTCCATGGCTTGTAAGATTGCAAGTTCTAGAAGCAATACACTTCTTTGGTAGCGTGCTTGACAGCTCCCTGCTTTGCAGTGTCTACCTACGAGTAAGGCCTTTGCTTATTCAAATTCAGTGCATTAAGAATCCAAGAGTCCAAGAGCACTTGGTGTTCAGGCAGGCGATGTTGCTTCTGCTGTAAGCTCAGGTGAGGACCTCCAGCACCAATTGCAGGAGATCCGACAAGAGGTGACTATCCCAGATTCTTTTTGGAAGTCATGTTCAGGTTGCTTCAACCAAGCTGACTACAACAAAAACCTGAGCGGACATCCTGATGTTCTCATGATGACTTTATAAGATGTTATAAGGCTTATCTCACAACCATGGCTGCAGGTGCTTTTTGTATTTGTTTGTTCTCTCAAGGGAACTGTCAACTTGCATGAGATAGCTTAATGCCAAGGTGACTCGCTGTGCACGCGCTTTGCAGGCTTGTGATATGTCAAGCGTAGTGCAATCTCACCAGACTCTTTGAAACAGAAGGACAGGAAGAAAGGAAGCACACATATACCCTTAGGCCCCTGTACTATTCTGTCATATATATACTATGATCCTCAGGTCTTTGATTCATGCTATTTTTCAAGTTGCAGGAACAGGCCCCTTCTTTGCTACTCTAGAATCATCCTTGCTACTAAAGGCTCTTAGGAGGCTTGGAACACGAACTTGACTTATGAACAATATACCATGGATTACCATGAACTACCTTTTATTGTTCCTAACAATGTTACACCGTGGAGGTGTGTGAAGCATCACATGCATTTCGAGGAACCAGCAGCCATACCCGCAGACGAGGTGTGGAAGCCCATATAGGCTGATTTGTTGAAGCGGCCGTGGCTGGAAATTATTGTAGGCCTTTTTGCCCATGTGGCGGCCACAGATGGCAGCAGGATGCAAGAAGATACACTTACTTACAGTACATTACATCTAGATTAATCTAAGCTGTGGCATCGATCTTTTTGTTGTGAAGGCATCATGTGTTTGTTCTTTATTTGGCTTCGTTTTGCCTCAAATTCCAGTCCAGTACTTTTGGGACGGTTTAGTTCACATTTGCAGTCGGCACGAGGTCCTGGACATTCGTCAGCAGCTCGAGGCTCTTGGTGAAGAGGCCTGAAGTCAGCGTCAACCATTTCCACCTGAGACGTTGAGCGCAAGCTTGGCATGAAAAGAAGGAATTGGCTCCTTGCATCGCTAGGAACAAGAAACTATATACTAGGGGCTCCTGAGCTCCTGGCATCGCTACTAGGAGCAAGGATGCTACTAGGGGCTCCTGGCCCTACTACTAGGAACAAGAACGCTACTAGGAGCTTTCATTTCAGTCTCAGTGTCACAAAATCTACGTGGGCTAGAACTTCCATTTTGCGCGGCCGGTGAGGTGTAGGACGTAGGAATCATCACCCTTTGAAAGGAGTGCGTAACTCAAACCTTGTGAATTCACAGGTGTTGGAGTCTTGGACTTTGTTTTTTTGGTCTAGAGTAGTACTGCACTTGTTACTGGTAACGATGCACTTAAAGTGCTTGTAGTGCGGGGAACTTTTGTTCTTTGTGCATTGCCAGGTTCAACAGACTTCGCGTGCAGTTGCCGGCAGAGACCTGCGAGAGTTAGATGAGGCACCTCGTTTCAAGCTGAGCATAGTGTAGCAAGGAAAGCTATGCCAATACCTACTAAGCAAGGCTTAGCAACTAACAAGGATTGCTTGATTATCTCCATTATGTCTTACTTGATGCTTTCAATGATGTCTCAATTGATGTCATGATGTCATGTGTACGCTGACAGGTTCGACAACAGCTTGAAGCAATTCAGAGCAGCGATCCCCAAGTTGAAGATCGAGCGGTCTTGGTTCATGTACACTAGCCTACCATGGATTCATCTTGGAGTGGCAAAATTTGGAGGACAGACCAGTTTATCTACGAGTCAATATCCTGAGTGTGTTGAAGGATAGGACTTCGCAGGCCTTCGGTGCATTACAGTAAGAACACGTACGGAGGGCTGTTGAGAGCTCAAGGTGAAGAGTTGACCCAGCTACAAGCTTGTACTTGTAGTTTTTGCTTCAGTTCCTTCAGGTGCAGTATGTTCCATTACAATGACTACAAGCAATCGACTCACGGAGTTCTAAGTTTTGCCTATGTCTGACAGAAATATGTTTAAACATAACAAGTTTGATGTCTTTTTTGCATGGCATGTTTGTCAACGTGTTAAAAAAGGGTGCCACGTTACTCACAGCTAGTTTAGCCTGATCGACTCAGGACAGGTGTCCAGCACCCTTGCCGCAGCTTGGTCAAGGCAACCCCACAATGCAAACTAGCGAGCGTGCAAAGAAGCTTGGATGTCGGCACCTGTCAATTGAAGCCTGCTTGCAAGAGTTGAGAGAATGCAAAATTACAAAGCTGATGTCCACATTCCCATCTAAGTGTCGCTGGCCCCTCAATCGTACACAAGTCCTACTATTCAGATTGCCCCTGATTTCTTTGTTTCTTCAAGGCCTGCTGAGCCGCCCAAGCCCGTGGTCATCTTAGACTGTGAAACCGTTGCGGCGTTCTCTGTCTTTTTGACATCGCCATCGCTTCGGATGTTCAGGTGAATGCTCGGGTCTGGCAGTCCCAACCGGAGATCAGCGAGCTTCGCGCAGAGGCATCTTCTGTGCAAGGGGATCTTATTGTTGCTTTTACTTGCTTCAGTATGGGTGTAGGAATAGGAGGTTCTCCTTTCCCCGCCCCATTTCAGCTAATGGTTGGTCCATTGGTACTGTAGAACTGTAGCAGATGCGAAACAGTTTGAGCTGCGCGATCTAGAGTTAGTAATCGCGAAGACGGGCCTTGGGGAGACGCACGTCTCTTCTGCTGTGCCACAATTTTGGGTGTTGCACAATAGCAAGGGTCGTCAGTGTTATCACGCAGGTGAACAGCCTCCGAGCGCAGTTGGGGCAGCTGTCGTCGAAGGTACTTTGATCAGACGAAGTGCAGAGTGGATGCAAGTCTAGACTCAGTATTGCAAGTCAAGGCATATCTTACACAAAGAGGGGATGTTTACAAGCGTTGGTTGCACAATGAATCCATACTGAAACCAGCAGAGGAATTGGTGTTCGCTGTAATTATAGGCAGCTGGGTTCCACGAGCACGTTGTTACGCAGTTGATACTACAATGTTGTATAGTTTTGAATGTGTTTTATTCCACACCCTCCCCCCTCCAAACGCTAAATGGCATGACATGAATGTGGTCAACTGATTTCAACTGTATATATAATATATATATAGTTATGTTATGTATATATGAGCAACCACTTTTATTTAGGCTTTACTAAAGTAGTCTACGGCATGCTTTATGTGCTTGTCTATCAGCAAAATTCACTTGTGAACCAGATAGGGCCCCCACATAAACGAGATGCCTTTGCTTGATGACACTAAAGTAGTCTGAACGAGATAGTGTGATTTGCTACTAAAGCATACTAAAGCAGTCTGAACGAGATAGGGCCCCCACATAATAGATAGTCTATTTGCGTTTAGTATCAAATAAATAAATGCCGCTGGACATATATATATATATATATTTGTGTATAATCGACCAGTTGAAGCTCTTTCAAAAGAACACAGCAAGGCAAGCTACGGAGTGCGAAGGCAATTCTTGGTGAACCCCAAACTCTCGACATTGACATTGAGCTTCAGTATATTTACGATGCATCTAGTACAGGTGACCAGGCTGTGTGTGAAGTTCTGATGGAGAAAAGTGAAGAGAAAAGAAACAACTGAATGCGATGGGGTGCTTCAAGGAAGCTCCGCCCTCCAACTGGAGCAGAGTGCGTCCAAGTACATACTGTAGATGTATATTTATATAGTTACTTGTCAGCTACTAGCTTACTTGCCACCTACCACGCTTGAAAAAGATAGAAATATAGGATGAAACAAGACTAAAGGAGTCCCAAAGGATTCCTAAAGGTCTAAAGTCCGATAAATAACATGCCTCTTTTGGTCAGCAGTTGGATCCCCAAGGAGCGTCCAGCACCTCCAGACTGGAAGCGGCATGTGTGGCAGAGGCGTCACCCATGATCGCTGGGCTCGGTCAAAGCTCCCAGTAGCGTCCTTGTTCCTAGTAGCGATGCCAGCAGCCCCTAGTAGCGTCTTGTTCCTAGTAGTAAGGCCAGGAGCCCCTAGTAGCGTCCTTGCTCCTCGTAGCGATGCCCTTTGCTCCTAGTAGCGTCCATGACATGATGTGTCTTTGTCTTCGTGCCATTTTTTTCTTAGACCATTTAAGTATTCAAAGTAGTTCGTGACAACCAGGAAGCCATTGAGGTTATGTCCAGTGAAGAAGAGCAGACGGAGCCGACACCTACTCTTTGTGACCTTCTGGAGCAGCTACCTGCAGTGCTGCCGACCCCTTTTGAGCCATCGGTTGCTGAGGGAGTAGTTAGCTGGCTAAGGCTGTACTGTTCAGCTACCTTTAGGCCGTGTTTTGCTAGCTTGTTGCAGTTGACTGCTTTACTCGTTTTCGAGGGCTTGTGTGATCTTGTTGAGATTGAGCTTTGTTGGTCGCCTGCTTGGCACATGATGCAGTTGGGAGTCCACATGCCCACTCGCGGCTTGGCGCTGCGCCTGGATCCCCACACTATCAATCAGGTTCGTGACCAGGTGAGGCGTTGGACCACAAGACCGGTCAGGAAGGCTGCGGATTTGGGCCATTCATGTTTCGACGGACTGCCACCGATGTGGCTTTGGACACCCACAGCTCTGCCTGTGCCGAGCTTGGGTGATTGAGAGACCAGGATAAGTATTCAAAGTAGTTCTCTTCTCTTTTGGCTATCAACACTATATGCTTGGAGCATTCTTTCAAGCCTGTGAATGCCCTTTTTACTCGTTCATATGCTGCCTCATAATCCTGCAGTGAACCCGGTTCACTGAACCGAGTGGACATTTTGACATTTTGGAAACGATGCCATGAACAAGAAACCCAGTGCACCAGGTTTACTGTTACCCATATTCACATTTATGTATATGTTGACCAGGACGCAATCAGACATAAAATCAGGGACATTTGCAGATTCAGAAACCAACCGATCAGGAAACTACGATTCAGAAACCAAAATAGCCGATTCAGAAACTACGATTCAGAAACCAAAAAGGACGATTCAGCAACTACGATTCAGAAACCCAGGCAGTCCGATTCAGAAACCAAATGGTCCGATTCAGAAACCAAAATGAGCCGATTCAGAAACCAATGGGCCGATTCAGAAACCAAGCGAGTCCCGATTCAGAAACCAAAACAGCCGATTCAGAAACTAAAACAGCCGATTCAGAAACCAAGTCGGACGATTCAGCAACCAAACCAGGCGATTCAGCAACTACGATTCAGAAACCAAAACAGCCGATTCAGAAATCAAAACAGCCGATTCAGAAACCAAAACAGCCGATGCAGAACCAAGTCAGACTATTCAGAAACCAAGCCAGACGATGGTTGCAAAAATGGGGTGGAGGGCACGAGGAGTGTGGGGTGGGGGGGGGGGGGTGGGGGGGGGGGGAACCATGGTCAAGATAATAACGTTCGATGTGGTCGCAAAGTGCTTCAAAGTTCACTCAAGTAAGAATATGTTGTGTATTTCCAACATATGGCTGAATAGAGTGAGGGCCAAGATAATAACGCTCCATGTGGCTGCAAAGGGTTTACGAATATGTCTGTATTTACAGCATATGGTTGGAAACAATCGGTTGGTTTCTGCATCGTAGTTTCCTGATCGTTGTATTTACAGCGGGGTGTGGCACGCTGCCCGTAAAACGACAACATTCTCACGAGCTTTTGTAATTAAGTTGGAATGATGAAGATGAACTTGTTGAGGATTCTGCCATGCTAGTTTGGCATGGTTCGAACAAAAGCTTTTGTTGGTCTGTGTGCTTGTGACCACCAAGAGAGAGAGAGAGAGAGAGAGACACGCCCACAGTCCTTGTTGTTTTGTGATGAAATGCTCCTATTACCACATCTACTGCCACTACTACTACCACTACTACTACTACCACCACCATTACTACTACTACTATTACTACTACTACTACTACTACCACTACTACCATTACTACCACCACCACCTCTTACTACTACCACTACTACTACTACTACCACCACCACTACGCAGGTCATCAGTTTCTTCTTTTTGAAACGTTAAATTGTTTTGGTTTCATGGATTTGGTTACTGAATCAATGGTTTCAGTTACCGAATCAGCGGTTTTGGTTACCGAACCAGCGGGGTCTGGTTACCAAATCAGCGGTTCTGGTTACCGAATCAGCGGTTTTGGTTACCGAATCAGCGCTTTTGGTTACCGAGTCATAGTTACGGAATCAGCAGTTTTGGTTGCCGAATCAGACGTCGACCTACAATCAGCATTTTGGGCATCGGTCCTACGGTTACGCCATTAAAATATATGGAGGGCGGCCCAGGGTTGATCCTCCCGGAGGTAGTGTATAATTCCTATTCTGTCCGTATGTTTGGGGGCGACGGGCAGCTCCGCATATTTAAATGTGCAGTTCCTTCATCATTCACAACAATAAAGGCCTCCACGGGCGGCCAAGGCTTCCACATGTGGCAAGCCAAGGGCTCCACATAAAGCCACATAAAGCTGGCCAAGGCCTCCACATAGGGCCAGACAAGGCCTCCACATAAGCAGGGTCCACGTAAGAGAGTCCACGTAGGGGGCTCCA